AAGGGGGGCGTGCCGGGGACTTTGATAGCAATTTTAATAGAGAAATCCGCCGCGCATGACCGTAATTTTATGATTTTTATGATTCTTAAAACCTGTAGATTGAGTTACCGCCATAAATAGACCATCGCAGAACGCTCCGGAGTGCACCTTTAAGTGTCAAGAAAATAATAAATAAATAAAAAAATGATAAGTGGACAAAAAATATTGTTTCGTTTTTTGTATATTTCACCCTGCTACGGCAAAACGTCAAGGTTTTCTGTTGTTTATCTTATTTTTGTGGTCAGTCCGTCTCTTAATGATGTCGCGAACACTGTCCGTAAGCGAACATTGATAAGCAGAGGACAGGACAGGAAACGGGCAACGAGCAGGATGACCTCTCAAAATGCCAACAAAGCGTCCCCAAACGTTGAGTGCCTTTCTGAACAACACCTACTTGAAGAAGGTGAGACCACTGCCGTGGCTATTATATGGGTTCTCTTTGTTATCTATTCACTCATTTCCGTGTACCAAGTTCGCTTATGATTGTAATTAAACGATCCGCCTAAGGTCCACCGCAGGACGTGATATTCAGCGATGTCACTATTGGCGAGGAGCTCTGACCCGTTTGTTGCCCCCACACCTCGGTGTATAACTAACACAAGGCCTTTGCACATGCTCACAGGCCTTGTGGGCATGTTCATGTCATATTCTTTAATAGAGCCCGGGGCACAGTGTAATGTAAAAATACTAACAATAAACGAAGAGACGTTAAGTGCCGGATCTCTCCCGAAAGCAGTCGTCAGAGGGTGCGAGCTTGACCCACTTGGGCTTTTGTGCTGAACTGGGCACCTTGCATGCTGCATTGTTCATGCAGGCCGGAGTGGTAACAAAAAAGACCCTCTTCCCACTCACCGGAGAACACGAACTCCGAATCCAGCCGAACGCTGACGCCGCGTTCGGTTATGCATCAGCTGAGCGCTGAGTCATTGTATTCGTTGTTCTCATCCGTGTAGTCCTAAAGCTAACCACTTGGGGCGCCATGGTCTGATCTCCTCCTCTTGTTGTCCCAGAAATGTTTTGTAACAATTATCAGCGCTATTGCCACGCGCGTTGCCGAGCGAGCGCGTGGCCGAATGGCTACCGCGCTTGACTCTCGCGCGGAGGCCCCGGATTCGATTCCAGGGAGCGGACTCCTCTTTAATTTAGTCTCTCAACTGTGGATTCTCGTTACTTCGAAAACCTTGTCGTCTGATCGAGTTACGAATGTTCTACGCGCCGAACATTCTGAGCCGAATGTTCCAGAAACCCCCACGCGGGTACAAAATGTGCTCCGGGTAGCGGTCCTTATAGTCACTCTCGCCCCAGCGCTCGATCCTGCTGTTTCGCCAACATCGACGCCCGCGACGCTAGCGTTTCTCTATTTTGTTTTGGCTACGAGTTCGCCCAATTAAACGTTGAGTTTATTCAGTTATTCGCCGCCTCATCATTTGTCCTTCGTGACAATATCCTGCTAAATATAGTTGGACTGCATAAAATAGCCCTACGCAATTTTTTTTTTCCGTTTTGTGTTGTTGCATCTTAATAAACCATTCGGGTAAACCAGGTTCGCGCAACCGTATAATTGTCGTTGTGTCTGACGTCGATAAAAATTACACAATGCGGAATTATGCTCAAAAGTAATTGAAATACATTTCTAAGTATTTGTACTCTACTCAAGATACTTCACAGTAAAAGTAACTTGAGTAGTATTTTAATTACTTTATGGAGCAGGTATTTAGTAACTTAACTTAAATACTTTTATCCAGTATATTGTCCCACTGTACGAGATACAGGCCTCCAAATTTTTACATTTGTCGTTCGAGCAGGCATGTTTGACAATGTTTAGAAAAGTAAATATTATTTAAATAAATATTATTACTATATATTACAACCAACCAAACAAAAAAAAAGAGACCCATGGTCTCTTTTTTTCTAAAAAGTTTTAAAATTCTAATTTTATCGTTTTAGTTGTTCACTTTCACACGTGCCCCCTCTATCAGTGCGCGTTAATGCAACTGTCCACCTCTTCATGCCTTATGACTTTTCCTGTCCTCAATTTTTTTTTCTGGCCAAAACTGAGTGTGGGTTTGTTATACGAGACACTCGACAATGGCATATAAAAACATCAGTTAATCTAAAAATGTCGACTGGCCACTCTTTGGTCGATCTTATCCGAAATCACCCAGTCGTATTTCCAGCCATCCCCCGGGAACCCGAAGTTGACTCAAAACCAGGAAAGTTAACAAACGAAACTGCTGCAAAAACAAGCACACCTAATACAAATAAATTCACGAAGACCTCAATGAAGACAGAAAATGAGTACCGTGTAACTGCAGCCTCGGCGCTAGGAGCGCGCTTCAAGGGCTTCTTTTACTCATGTTGAAAAACTGTCTTTCAAGCACCGTAAAAATATATATACAAAATGCACACACACCAGGCCTATGAGCATGAATAGGTTGCGGTAGAATCTTAGAATCCAAAGTAGAATCACGGGCACGTGACGAGGAGCGGTTGACTGTAGACTTCTTCCGTAGTAAACGCTGAAATATGACAGATGATGGCTCTAATGGAGTGGTCGCTCGTATGGACGTGGGCGCATGTTCATTATTTGACGGTAGGTACGATTTTGTAGTGTAATGCTCTGGAGGCATTTTTAAACCTAAAGGCCCATAAAAGGCATATAATCAAAAGAGACTTTCCAAAAAAAAGATTTTTTTTTTTCATATAACTACTTGGCTAAAACACGCCCGTCACCAACCCCCCCCTCCCCCCCCCCCCCCCCCCCCACCCTCATTCCCCCAAGGAAAACAAAGCAATAATTATGGAAGGAGGCAGCGGACTGAAATGGTCGAAGGACTGTCATTCCTCCGTTTTTCTCTCGCTCCTTTTCGCAGCCAATCGAAGCGCGCTGAAAAGTGCCCCTCTCCGTGCTCCCTCTTGCCAGTTGGCTATTGGCTCTCATCCCCCCCCCCCCCCCCCCCTAATTTCCTTTTACAACGCCTACGCACACACACCTGCCAGTTGGGGACTCACAAAATGACTTCTATTTCGACCGTTCGTTTACCCCAAAATAGAAGTCATTTTCGAGCCGTCGCGCGCCAACAGACCAAGTATCTCCGAACTCAAAATGCATGTCAAGGGGTCAATATGCTTATAGCTTGATTTAAGTTCTTTTTTGGAGATGGTGCATCCGGTGACCTCCAATTTAGTTAGGTAGTCAATTTGTGAATATGTGTGTGTGTGTGTGTGAGGGGGGGGGGGGGCACATTATAATGATGGGCTTTTTACTTTCCACTTGGCCGTCAAAGGGACACTGACGGAGTATTTAAGCTCGCCAAGATTTTTATTTGTACGTGACATATGAGAGCCAAGCTACTCAGAAGTTTGCGGCTCGAAATTCCTTTTCTTTCTGCCCAAAAACCGCCGATCGAGAACCGGCCGGGTTAACCAAAGATAATCGAATACCCCATTCACACGACCGTAAAGGCACCTTTAGCTAAAAGACCTTTACTCTCATCGGCCAATCAATTAACGATCTTCCGCGCGCGGTGTGTGCTCGCGACCCAGGAGCACAGGCTGATTCGCCGATAGCAAAGGGACCTATGTTAAAGGTACCTTTATGTTGACCGTGCGAATGGGGTATAAGTCGTGGGTCGTCAAAGGCACACACAAAATACTAAAAATAGGCAGAAAATATGATATCCATTTTTTTGTGGTTTTTAAAATGCTGCAAAAACGTTGACTGAAAAAAAAAAAAGTTCCACAGTTATGGGACGTTTGGTAACTTTATCTTCATCTATATTTTTCCTTCCTCCCCAGTCTGGTTTCAGCTTCGAGCAGTTGCGTTTTTTTACTTTATTAAGATATATGTGACGCTCTAGCGATAATATTGATTGGGTAGTCTTCTGACAACATAATAAATCGCCTAGCAAAAAAAAAATTTTGTTTTAGGGAGTGTTAGTGTTTTTTTAAAGTGAATGGGTTAGTGTTTCTACCAACCACCGAGGGTTGCATGTTTGACTACTCCCCTTAGACTCATTTTCTATTGTCATATAATACGCTCTCTTGTTGACTATATTAGAACAGGATTATGTGTTCTGTGTGTGATATATTTAAAAATTTGTGTTAAACTAGATCGAAAAAAAAGATTCAAACTTCTTTTGGTAGTGTTGGTAACCTCCCTTTTTCACTTATTCATTATATGGTATATGGATGACTAAAATAAAACTTCGAAAATGTTGTAAATTTGAAATTCATTTAAAAAACGTTTCTATATTTTCTTTTTTATTTCCATTTAGGTACTTTATTGTGTGTCAGAAGCAAGAAACGAAAGCTGCAATATTTTATTTGTATCAGATCTATTAGCTGGAACGTTGTATGAGATGCTTCCGTAAGTGCACCTTGAAATATATACCCTGCTGACCTGGAGCCGGCTACGCCTGGCGCCACTGTCAGCCTGAAAACGTCGGAACTATACTACAGGGTGTGTTTTGGTCTGGACATTATCTGTTATCTAATATTCATTCTTAAACAGGGAGGCATAAAGTAATCTGGTATCAGTACAAATATTAGGTGTAATACACCATATCCAGGCCATAAAACTGGTCAGCAGGGCGGCATTAAGGCTCGTTTACACGTTTGCGACTGCTTACGCCCGAGCGTGTTACGACCTCTTGCGATCTCTTACGACGAGAGAACACACGAGTGCCTCCACCTGGTAGCAATGAAACACTTGAAATGTTTGTATGTTTGTATTTTTTTGCTTGAAAAGCTTATATTTAGGTACATTTAATCTCGCCAATACTGAAAAACCGTCGCTTTACATGCAGTTCCAGGGCCACCTCGTAGATGGCACCAGCGTGCCAGTGCGTTTTCTCTCGTAAGATAACGCAAAAGGTCGTAATGCACTCGGTCGTAACCGGTCGTAAGAGTGTAAACTAGCCTTTATGCCTTTTGCACGATCGCGATAAAAGACACGCAAGTTTTGCAAATTAATTTAGTTGTCACGTCTACTCTTTGTTGCAAGCAGCGCACACGCGGTGGTTACGCTTCCCTAACTTGGGGCGTCACACTCTTTCTGTGGCGGCGAGCTTCGATCTTGCGCTGCAGAGCCTTGCTGAGCCTTGCCTGGCGCAGTGCCTGCACTTTCTTCAGTGCCTTCATCTGTTCGTGATGCTGGTGACGCAGCTCAACCACTTTCCCTGGAAGTAAAATTAGTTCGGCATTTGAGCACATTGACATTATGGGCACCTTATAGCTACGGGCAGGATTCGAACGACAGGGAGCACTTGTTCCACTTTCAGCAAGGGCTTGCTACCTTCGACAATGCTTCGGCATCTCGGGAGCCTCGAGCGTGCACGCGCAGCCAAAGCACGACGAAAAGCAGCGAGCGCGTGCTGGAGGCCGGGCATCTTAGGGAGACGTCCCGGCGTCCTCATCTTGTGGGGGACAGTGGTTGTCATCATAGTTTTGTCAGTTACGCATGATGTATATGTGCTTGAGGTTTAGTCGCTGCGACCATTTGAAGGGCTCCCACCGTGGAACGAAACTTTTTGGATGTGACAATTCCTCAAACTAGGCAAGTACCGCGTTACCTTTCAGTCGCTCGGATAACAACTAATGGTAACCAATTATGCAACCTATTACTAAATGTTGAGAGAGACCACTACGCATTAATATTGTCATCGCAGTGTCATTACAACTTTAGCTAGAGGTTCAAACCACCAGATTTATTTGGTTTGTTAACCTTTACAGTGAAACTGTTAAGAGAAACAAGCTTGGATATGTCGGGCTGTCCTTGCTGACTTGGACTTGCGGTCGTGTTGTTACAACACCGACACTACGATGAGCCCGGGACAAACTCGACCGCACAACCGCGTATGGTTTTTTTATATACACATTTCTTGCGTTTATCACGCAGGCGAAAACTGCCCGGTCACTAGGTTGTGGACACATGCGCGGCAGTAGCTGTCTTCTGCAGAAGATAGCTGCTGCCGTACTGCGCATGCCCAACACGCGTTCAGCAGCCCATTATAGTCGTTTTCACCTTAAGAAAAAAAAAAGAAACTTTTGCTCAGAGTTCACACACCGTGCGAGACTGCAAGGTAGTTCTTACAACATTTAATTGTCGGAGGAAGAAGCGGCACCTTTAACGCTTGAAACGTGTATGTCTTGATACTCTTGATAATAACATGCATCTAATCTAAAATCCATCTACATATATTTTTATTATATAGACAAAGGAAAAAAATTAGTAATGCTCCGCGAGCAGTCGGTCTTTTTTTACTGCTGTTCTTAAGGTGAAAACGAGTATAGATAAAGATGGCAGCGTACTAAATGTTACTTCATCACGATATCGTCACTTTTTTTTTGTTATGGAAAAACCGTTACAGTAACGACTTTACATGTAACTTCTTAGACACATTCCTGAATAAAAGTCGTACGGCCGGGAACAAAGACAAACAACAATTACCCGTAATTTAAAAAAGAAAAAGAAAAAAAAAGTGACATGTGATTGTTAGCGCCACTTCGCGTAACGACTGAAGATAGAGACGCGAGTGGCGCAGAAAGTTGGTTTTGTTCGAGTGTTATTGACACTCGAATTTTGCACGAAAAATGTCGCTCCTCGAGCTGATGCTGTTTTCGCATGTGTTGTTTTGAGTTATCTGTGCTACCTTATTTTACTTGCAAGGCAGCCTCTTCCTTCTACACAGACGATTGACGCTATGCGGAAATACATGCAATCACATTGACACGCTTAATTAAAACAAAAACAAGCAAGATACATACGCGTGATTGCATCGAACGCAGAGAAAAATGGTAGTTCACTTCATGAATTAGGCAGGCAACAACTTGGCCGCGATGACAAGAAAGATAGCGCGTCTGCTTTCACAGCGGAAATTCGCAGTGAGGCAACCTGAGTTCTTGAAGGAACAACTTTACGCGAATCACGAGCTACAGACAACATACGAACCCACAATTCTGACCTGCTGTTGATTGCGAATTCAGCATCGTTTTGCGCGTATAAATTTACATTGCTTTTTTTTTTTTTTTTTTTTTTTGTCATGCACAGGCCAGACATGGTCGTGTCGAGGCGTATAGGTCCTCCTTTGCACGCACCGAATATTTTCTCGGTCGGTGGCATCGGAGCCAGGTCAGACGTGGGAACTGGAGTCGGACCTGCGGTTGAACTGGTGTCGGGAGTCATCGAGCTTTCCTGGATGGGAGACATTGTACACGGATTACGTTGTGTGTATAGGTTGGGCGATGTGCAAGACGGCATGATAACAATGAGTAACAAACTGGAGTGCCACTTCACTCAGCAACTCCACATTTTCGTGCGGCGCATAGCGTTGTGAGCGATTGAAAGCGTCGCAGTGGTCGACCTGCAGCAAAGGATTTCTCATCGATGGAAATAGGAGTAATGTAAGAACTACAATTTTGACGGTGTTCGCAGTATTGGTTTCAGAGCGTAATGATTTCAGGCTTCCAGCATGCTAATTACAAACACCATTGGCCTTGTTGTTTGCAGGGTAATGACGTCAGGAGAGGAACCATAGGGGGGCACCACTCAAGCATTCCGGTTTAATGTTTAATGTGGCGTAGAAATAAGAGTATAATTTTTATGGCGCACTGGGTTGACAAACAGTCGTCATGTATTGTTTGTCCCACTTCGATCCAAAACATTTTTTTATTACTTTTGTGGAAACAAACAGGTATGTGAGTGGAGCTTCATAAACTAGTTATGTTCGATTGTTTTTAAATAGCACGTGACTGCTCGACAAGGATCGACGATTTACCGGAAACCATGTCGTACCTCTTAGTGCAACTATTCTGCGAAAACCATTACAATTTTTATACGTTTGTCCTTATCCGATAACAGAATGCTGCGCAAACCTACATGTTGTAACGGTGGTACTGTGCATTATAATAGGGCGTCGATGTTAGAAATGGCTGGCGTTACCCTGCTCAGACTTCTTTCTGGCCGGAACAGCTGTACTGGCTGTCCGTCCTTGAAGGTGTCGTCCGCGTCGTTTTCCATTCCGCTGTCTCCTGCAGAGCGCCGAAAAGTATAGGCGTGATGTTCTCGTCCGGTTCAGTGTAAGGCTGAACCGCATCTAAGCGATCGCCGAGACAAGCGACGGCGACAGCGACGCCCGTCGCCCAACGATGACCTAACCACAGCTGTTTTTGTCACCCTCGGGCAACGTTACTAGAACCACTCAGTTGGGAAACTGCCGTAGAGACTGCTCTGAAAAAGTGGCCCCAATCTGTCCACCAAAACCGAGCTAATGGCGAACACAACGCCGCCATTTCTCCCGCAGATTCCACTCGAGGAACTGCACATTACTTCTTTTTTGGCTTTCATCGGCCATTTTAGCGCCGAAACAGACACAGCGGAAGAGGTTACAGGGGTGCCAAACCCCTCTCCCCAGCGGACGCGCCGCGAATAAGCACCGAAGTTAAAATGCACCTAGGTCGGGACGCGCTACCTGGAAGGACCGCTGAGGCATGGTTGTATAAAAACAATATTAATTGTTCCGCAAAACCTTCCAAACTAAAAATTATAAAAACATCACGCGCCCTTTATTTTGTACTTAACTCAAAAAAAATTTAATAAAAAAGGAGTCTTTTTCTGTTTGTTTTTACGCAAAAACATGCTTTCTAAAAGCTCAAGGTGACCACAGTACAAACAAATAATAAAGAGTGGCGCTGTTGTCGTATTTAGCTCGGTCTCGGTGGACGCCAGCGGCCCAGGTTTCGACGGCGAGTTTCCCAACTGAGTGTTCTAGTAACGTTGCCCTCGGGTGACCAAAACAGCTGTGATTTTTGGTCATCGTTGGAAGCGTGTCCCTCAGCACTTTTGGCTTCACTTATGGTGGCGTCATGTCGCCTCCAGAAGCTTCCTCTCCATGATTGAAGCCAACACCGAACGTATAGTCGTTTGCAGCTGGAGAGACGCAGGGGGAGTCGAGTCCCAACTTTCGAGGATCTTGTTATCGCGTCACAGTCAACGAGATTATGCACTCGTGGAATTAGTTGATGTCGAAAAACGAAGGCAAGAAGCGGGGACATAATAAGCCGCTATTTGCACGGCCTGTAGATCCTCGCTTGGTTCTTGGACGCTCGCAACCTCGAAGACACCATAGGGATTCGCATGATTTCCATGTAAACCAATACAAAAATCTTTTTTTTTTGTGTGTGTGTGTGTGATGAAAACTTTGTGGGCGCCAAGCACGTTACTGCTCACCACTTAATCTTAAATAAAATAGAGATATTGTGTTTTTTTTTGGTTCGATCCATGGTTTATTGAGTTTCTATTTATAAAGTGCTAACTTGGTTTTATTTGTTAAAAGGGAAGAGATCAAGGATAGGTATGTTCCCTTACCAAAGGCAGGGACCAGCGAAAGAGAGCGGCAAGTTGAAAAGTAGGATGCCGTTTGGACAGTCCCGGGCACCCGTTAGACAATTACGCGGCGGCTGTCGCCATTTTCTCGGAATAATCATCCGTAGTCGTGTTCTTCACATGAAAACGGATCGCGCGCAGGCAAACGATTTGCGTATGTTCTTTATAGTATAACTTTAGGGCATGAGAATCAAGCTGGCACCGAAAGAAGGCAAGGTGAAAATCTAACAAGGCATGTTTTTAAGCTTTGTGCTTCCTTCGAGTGAGGTGGAAAATTTCAATCCAAAAAGCTGCCTGTGCGTCTAGTTTTCCCCCAGTGCACTTAGAAAGCCAGTCAGTGTATTATATTAAAGGAGCGCGCGGCCAACTTGCATCGAACGATGAAGTCTGCGCGTCTCCCTTTGTAGTCTGCTGCGATTGGCTCACCCAAATGTTTTGAGGGAAAGTAGACGTTCCGTTTTGGGGCGTATGTTCAATGGCAACGTACACAAATCCTGATCACACGTAGCACCGCTCCGTGTTATAAAAACGTTCTATTTTAAGTCAAACGTTTTTTTTTTTTAATGAAGTGAGATTTTGACGAGTGCTGTTTTGAACATGCATTTATCAGTCTCGGCGGACATTAGATGAGGGAATAATCGTCACAGTAAGTAGGCTAGTTAACTAAAATTCGTTCATTAACTTTTTAATTAATTGCTTTGAGTGTCATGTTGCAACTGCATGTAGTATTGACGGCTATTCCTTTTAGAGGCCAAACCAATTAAAATAATTTGCAAAAATGTAATGTTCTTTTATACATTGCTAAATTTTCGTGCTTTTTAACCCGATTTGAAAATTGCGCGCAAAAAGCGCACCCCGCAAGTCCTGCCCACAATGACGCTTAGAAGAGTGACGTAGTCGTTTCAGTCCTGTCGTCACTATATGGGTAGCCTGTGTCCTTGGTGGGTACGCAGGCGATACAAGCGACGACGGGTCTGAAACGACTGCGTCATTCTTCTAAGCGTCATCGTGGGCAGGGCTTGCGGCGCGCTTTGTGCGCGCAATTTTTACATCGGCCTAAAATACCCGAAAATTGATCAATCAATATCTCCAAAAAAACATTGCATTTTTTCCAGCTATTTCGATTCGCGTGGCCTCTAATTAAGTTTCCGTCAACACTGAAATTGCAACATGACCCCTAAAATTATCCATTTAAAAGTTATTGAACGTATTTTGTTCATTAGTAAATTTACGTACCATGACAAGTGTCCCCTCATCTAATGTCCGCCGAACCTGATAAATACATTGGGAAAAAGACACTCGTCTAACTTTCATCCCCCCCCCCTTTTTTTTTTTGTAAAACAACAAATCTCTTCGAATTAAAATCGAAAACCTTGTACACACCGAATCACTTCGTCACCCGCCAATAACACTAAAAAGAAACAACAGGGAACGCCAATATAGGCACAAAAGGTTTTACACTGGCAACATAATCCTTTAAAGTCCGTGTTTTTTTTTCCTTAATGTGGAACACAAATTTTGATCCTAAAAACATTGTGGCTGTCTTTATGAAGAATATTTATTTATCGAGGATGCACTGATCTATGCGCTCAAAGTTAATTGATGTCTACATGCATCGAGCCTAGGATATTTTCCTCGAACTATACTTTTTGACATAGCACTACACTCTAAAAAAAAAAAAAAAAAAAAAAAAAAAAAAAAAAAAAAAAGCCCAGGCGTTTGTTTTTCCGCACAACGCTCGTAGAGCCAATCACCGCAAATTACGGAGGCAGCTCAGCGAATGGCAATGCCGAAACATATGTTTAGACCAAAAAAACGCAGTCTGAGTTGTGACGTTTTGCATTGCTTAATATCACAACTCAGACTGCGTTTTTTGGTTTAAACATATGTTTCGGCATTGTCATTTGCTGAGCTGCCTCCGTAAGTTGCGGTGATTGGCTTTCCGAATGTTGTGCGTGAAAGTAGACGCACAAACTTTTTTAGAGTGTATGCAGTAGACGCACAAACTTTTCTTAGAGTATATGCAAAGTGGCTCCCCGGCCTCGCACCCTGGGGTCACTCTTTTCATTTTATTCGGAACTATGAGTTTTCTATGTAGTTCGTTAATAAATTAGTGCATTAGTGATTTCTCGGTGGTCGCCACGAAGCGCGAGGTTGAGGGACGTAGATTCGCCTTTCGGGAACGACGTCGAAAGAGAAACCCGAGACAGAAGCCCCCTAAACAAAAAATTCACGTCCCGTCGACAGGTGTCATTATGAAACAAAACATAGCTCAACAGGTAAAAATACAATCGGCAGCACAGTTGGGAGAGGTAGGGATTAAATCGAAACCCACTGAAAGGGTTCAGAATCGCCTCAGTCAACGAGAGCCGCCAAGAACACCGAAGAACGAAGCAGGAACCGTGAACATAATGAGCCAGGCCATGTGTTCCCCAAACCTCAAAATTTGTTCCGTCTGTCCGCGCATTTTCCGCTAAACATAGCGGGCAAACTAAATTGGTGTTTAGGTCACGTGACGTCAATTGATGCTACCTGAACTGACGTCATGTGATCTTATACTCCAATTAAGTTCACCCGCCAAAGTCGGTGTCATGATTTTAAGGCATGACATAAAAGGAAGTTGAAGGGGCAAGAAGAAAGAAGATGACGCCACGTGAGACAACGGTTTTAGGAGGGGAAGAAAAAGAAGAGGACGGCGTGAGAGTTATAATCGAAGACTGAGTCCGGGAGGAAGCGGCGGATGGGATCCATGGCTACGCTCCAGGACGCGCCCGACCCTTGCTGTGCACAAGCTGTCGCCGGCCAGAGTTCCATACTCTAGAGCACTGCACGGGCCCGGGCCAGCCCGAAAGCCCGAGCCCGGCCCGGCCCGCGGGCCGGGCTCGGGCCGGGTAGCACGTATTTTCTCGGGCCCGGGCCGGGCTCGGGCTTGAACAAAAAAGCTCTCGGGCCGCGCCGGCCCGGGCCGGCCCGGGCCGTGCCTGGGCAATCTTGTGCCGTAAGTCATAAATTGTTGTTGATAGCAAGTTTCCTTATTAATCTTTTAGGTTCATTGAATACAAAAAAAAGCGAAGTGCAAATTCAATACAGCGTCGTTAAAAATAATAACTAAAAGACGTCTTTGAAGCTAGAAAGCCTTCAAGTTTTTTCCGTGTGAGCGAGGGTTCAGTGTTATAAATTGTAAACAAAGTAAAGTCAGTCATATGCTTGTCAACCTGTCTGATTCATCGCTCTCAAAAATATCTAGTTCCCTATAAGGAAGATTTAAAAAAACCTACGCAAGCGCTTTGGGTACCGTAAAAATAGCGTTGCGATATAAAACCTATGGCGATGCTAAGTTTAGCTTGCCCAAAGCGCTTGAGTACGTTATTCTAAGACTCCCTTATTGCACAGAGCGCGACACCACAGTATTAGCGCGAACAAGCGATCGTCGTGTTTTTATGTTTATCTCATAGAACCAAAATACTGTTTTCAAAACTATTAGTGTCTTTAGAAGTGCTCATCTGGGCCACAGACCTAGGCGGTATACTTTGGTGCCTACTAACACCATTTCGAAGTAAAATTCGAAAAAAGAGCCAACGTCGTGTTCGCGGTATCAGTGTCGCGCAGTGTACATAATCCGTTCCGCGCTTGCACGTTTTGGGAACCATCTTGAAAAAAAAAACGTTTTAAGGGGTTAAGTAGGAATATATTAAACTTAAGCTTGCCTGAAAGGGTTGTATATTTTAAGAACGCGTTGACATGTAAAGCTACTTCAGAACGTATTCTTAAACAGAAAAGGTGCGCAGACCAGGCTTAGAACGATGGAGACTTTTTGCGAGAGGTTGCGATGGGCAGGGCCTTATAAAAGTGGGTTGAAACCGGACGCGTTCAAACGCAAAGGGTGTTTCGGAAACTGGTTCAAGTAAGAAGCGCGTTTAGGGAATAGGTTGAAGCAGGACAAATTCAAACGAGAAGGGCGTTTAGGGAACTGGTCGAAACGGGACGGGTTCATATGGGAAGGGCGTTTAAAGAATGGGTCGAAACAGGACGGGTTCAAATGGGGAGCTGGTTTCGGGAACGGGTCGAAACGGGACGGGTTCAAACGGGAATGGGTTGTTTCGGGCTACAGCCATCGGGCCGGGTCGGGCGGGGCCTAGAAATTGAAAATTCTGTCGGGCTCGGGCCGGGCCCGGGCCGTCTCTCTTCCGGGCCGGGTTGGGCCGGGCCTAGAAATTAAAAATTCTGTCGGGCTCGGGCAGGGCCCGGGCCGTGTCTCTACCGGGCCGGGTCGGGCCGGGCCTAGAAATTCCGGCCCGTGCAGTGCTCTACCATACTCCCCTTCAGACGCCTAGGAGACAGGGGCCTTCGCTGCCTTGGGCAAGTCGCTTCGGTTCGTCGACGCAGCGAACTCGAACTGCAAGGCTTGCTCCGAACAGCTTCATTTCTTGGAACTGTTGATGTGTTTAAGCATGTGTGTATCGTTTCTCCTTTTAGTGTGTACATACTCATTTGCCTTCCGTTATATCTTCGTCTTTCTTTTGTAAATATAATGGGTTGTAAATTATTCGTTTTCGGCTTTGCCTCTATCACATTCGTGACGTCCCCGGCCGAACCGTGACAGTCGGCGAGGAAATCGGTGTCATGTGACCTGTACATTAATTCACTTTCCCAGCTAAATTTCGCGGGAAAATTGACGCAACGTGACCTTTACACCAATTAACTTGCCCCGTTAAATTTAGCGGGAAATTTATGGCACGTGACTCGACGTCACGTGCTCTCACACCAATTAACTTACCCCGCTAAACTTGGCGGGGAAATCCATGTTATGCCACTTAAATACCTTCAGGTTCGCCGCTAAATTTAGTTGGGAAAATGACGTCAGGTGACCTGGCGACACGTGACACATCCAATACTATTTCCCGACTAAATATAGCAGGGAAATCGACGTCACCTGATATATACTTCAATTTTGTTTCCCGGCTAAACTTAGCGGGGCAATTGACGCCACGTGACCGATGCACGCAGTTTCCTCGCTCAATGTACCGGGTAAATGGATAAAAATAAAGGTTCCTCCCTCCCCGAAACGACAGTTTAATGTCCTCTAAACAATTCTAATCGATCGCACCTCAAATACTTCGTTGCATGCATCACGGGACTTGATCTATAAAGGTCGCTGCGAATATTTTTTAAGCTGGCGGTGACTCTAGGATGTCGCGATTTCCGGAACTCCATTATTCCACCGTACGCGAGTTCTCTGCTGAATTATGCACCAGGTGAAGTAAGCACTTGCGAAGAAAGCACCGAAGGAAGCACTTCATTCGACTTGATAACTCGAAAAATCGATATCAATCTCAGCATGCGTACGAACAATAGAAATGCACGAATAAAATTCGAATATATTTATATAAGTCTCTTAATTATAGCATATTCCGTGCTCTTACCGTTTACGAGGGTTACGTCCTTGCCCGTGTTGTTCTTCATCCTCTGTTGTATCAGGCGTACCCTCTCCTTCCGAAGTTGGGCGAATTTTTCGTGGCATCGTTCTTCCAGAATGTCGAGGTCGTGGTTGATGACGTTGTTGATCACCTAAGTCAACGCAAAAGCATCGAGCAACGAGAGTGCGTCGCAAATACCACGATATTGCGTAATCCTTACATGAGCTCGTTAAATAATGTACTGCAGCAATACAACGTGTTGGCAGAGGTATACTTATCAACTAGATGCGGATAAGTTGAGCAATACCAGGGTTCAGGAGATGTATGTTCTTTCATCATCATCATGGTTTCTATACATATGCCGATGAACATTACGCATATAAAATTCCTGCAAGTCATCGTGTTTACGAATGTCTCTTTTTTTATACAAGTTTATTAGAAAAGCATTGCAGGGTGTTTCACCAACGATTGAGAATAATAATAATAATAAAAATGGGGCATTGAATTGAAAAAAAAAAAAAATATATTCCTTTGGGATAACGTTATCGATTTGCTGCCCGGAGTAAAATTATTCAGTCGTCGAAACTCAAACAGCTGTAACAGCTAAACCGCTAGGAAACCAAAACTAAAGTCGAAAAGGGCGGTGCATGTCCCACGCGTAAGCGACGTGTGGCGAATCATCGCGAACCGATCTGGCAGCGGCCCGTTATCTAAGGTCAAGTGGTCGTGGAAAGGCGCGCCACGCTCCGATGCCTCCTCGGGCACTAAGCGTTTGGCGCTTGTTTCTCTTTAGTTTTGGAATGGTGGAGGCCAATTTCGCCATCAAATGGCGCGAAGAAGAATTTAGTTGACACGACTTCTAAGTACTTCTGCGGCACATTTGTCTGGCAACAAATCTCTGATTGGAATGTGCCGGATAAAGCAAACACACAAAAAATATTAGGGAAGCTTAGGTAATTAGGTTCTTAATTATCACTTTTCATTCCTACACTGACGTCTGCCCGAAGGAACCATTTGTTAATTTCCAATGTACTTTTTTAAAGTTATTCGCAGTATTTAATGAAAACGCCTTAGATATATAATAATCAACTTCTTAGAGTTGATTAACGAAAGCTGGCCGTAAACCTGTTCGACCATTCACCCCCTTTTTTTTTTATTGCATGAAACTACATGAACCTTTACAAGTACGTAGAGTATGAATCGGAATCCGAATGTCAAGTTTAATCAACCATAGTTTGCGTGTCGTTATGTTTACGATAGTCACTGGCAGAATGAAAACGGCAGGGCGTGTCTTTTGAACGCTTATGCCTCTATTACGCGCCCCATGCCTTCCACCGTGCTTTGGCTGCGCGCGCGCTCCAGGTGCACGAGACGTTCAAGCGTTGTCGATGGTTAGAAGCTCGCACTGTAGAGGCGCGAGCTCCTTACCTTCTCACCTCGTCAGTGACTACACTGTGGAAAGATCCATACACCCCCGTGGACATTCCACTATGTAATGCCTAAAGCCACACACCAAGTTACTCTTCAGAGCAACGACGCCTTCAGCCCATAAAGTTATTAAAATGTACGCTAGAGGTTCAAATGGCGCTAGTGTCTATCCGACTTTTGGGAGGCAAATTGAAGCAGTCAGCAACCAGTCTAGTTTTGCAGTGCTCTTGTGAATTCCTATGGGAAAACGCGCGTGCATTTTGTCTTTTCGGCGGAAAATAACATAAATAACCTTCGTTATTTGGGGTCGTGCCGAAGAGTATGCACCTTTGTTAACACTGTGAAAATGTAACTGCTTTAGCTACAGCATTTTTCTTTACCAATGAACGATGTTAAACTTCGCTATATTTTAGGCACAAACCTCTGTTCCATGGCAGGTATGTAAAAACGAGCGGCGATTTTAAGCAAAATAACAATCGAAAGGAATGTAGAGTGCGATCAAGGTTCGCCAGCATTTCGGTGGTGCTTATACATTTTTAATATGCCCGTCCTGTCACTATATGAAAATGACTCAGTCGTACATCTTTACGAGCGGTTAAGAACATTCGAAACGTAAAGAATAAAGTACGGGGGCTATGAAAGGTGTGCCTTTTTATTATTTCCTATGTCGGGACGCGTTTATCGGGCGCCTGTTCTCTGGCTTTTCCCTACTTTGAAAAATTTCGACCGTGCGGGTGTTTTGAACGTAGAACAAGCATTCTCACGCATATTCATGAGCAGAAAGAATAAGGTGGTGCTTATTTATTGCAAATTGGACTATATTACGTGGTTTTCAATTCAATTGGATCGTCTGCGTGCAGAAAAAGTTAGTTATCCAGTGTTACTGCATAGTTCTTGCCGTCTCCCTTGGTTTTCCAGATGCCCTTCGTTCGTTTGGCACGTATAGCCCCCATGCTGGAAATCGCCGACGCCGTGTTCGCGTTAACAGCGTCCGCAGTGCACAGAAATACACGTTCGAAGCCGTTTTAGCACCGTTTTTATACCATAAAGTTAAAATAAAAACACAGTAACTGGCCAATTATTTCGTCTGCTTGACTGAGAAATGTTCCAATGTACTTAGTACGTACGAAATATTCGGTATATTTGCTCCTATAATCAAGCGCGGGGAGAAAATGCTCTCGCTTTTCCCCAAAGAAATGCATTACCGGAAGTCAATTTCCGACGGGTTGCTTTCTGCTTCAATTTGCCGCAGCACACTAGAGTCAGGTGGACCTCTAGCGTGTACGCTAGAGGTTCACCTGACTCTAGTGTGCTGCGGCAAATAATAACTCTATGCTTCAACCATCTTGGTGCTGCTTAAAAATCACATTGTTGCCAGTTACCTGAATCTCTATCTGAAAAATCGCAGGAAACCGTTTGCTGTCTTTCAGAAATGTTAAAAAATTCCGCCTTAGAGCGAAACAATAGGGACTTTTAGCAGACCGTTACCATGTTCTGCGTACGTACACTGCCGGAGCCTTTTGAAGCATGTTTTAGGTGCGCTCTCGGGTGATACAGTGACCGCGGGGTGCGTACTTAAAAAAAAAATGCTTCAAAGGCATCGATAGTGCGGTACGCTGAGCACGGTAACGGTTTGCTAAAGTTCCCAATATCACCTGAGCTTTCTTTCCCACACCGTACCTAAGGCTGAGGAAGCCGCGTTTTCTAATCGTAAATATCGCCAAATGCGCTCGCTTTGGACTAAGCACCAGCATTTCGGCGCCCACAAGAAAATCGGGGTCTGGAGTTCCGATACTCCAATCGTATAGGGTATTTTAGTCTCTCTTGTAACGACACTGCTATTTTCTGTTGACGCGCCCGATTCAGGAAGCCGCTGTTGGCTGCACACATCCAATGCGTAAAACGCGGCACAGTTAACTTGGTTATGGAGTCCTCAACTTTTTATTCCTATTTTTTTTTAACGAGGTAAAAACAAAAAAAGAAAGCCGTTGCTTACCAGCTCTATCCACTGCTTCAGTGCCCCCGCTCTTCTGTACGTTGTGTGGTAGCAGTTCAGCGCGTGTTCGTATCGGTCTGGCGTCTTCATGTCCGTGAAGATGTAGGTGACAGCCTGCGGGAGAAATCAAAGGGAGTGCGAAGCATCAGTGTCACTTATTACCATTTATTCAGTAATCTGTGCGTGTACAGATGCTTTGGCTTACGCATTGTTTCCGATGGACCATGTGGTAATTCTTTCGTGCTCACGGAATGTCGGGCATTCACAGTATACTTAACGAGAACAGAGAAATTACTGATAGCGTGAGCCACAGGCACCGAAAGTAGGATGGAAAGAGAGAAAAAATATATAAATTATGATTTAAATTATGATCTTAATCGGCAGATTTTCCTAAACGAGCCAGGAAGCACATATAATGACGCTCCCATCATGTGTACTCCCTAGCCGGTGGGTTTTATGTAAACAACTTTACCTTGTTATTTTTTTTTAAATCTGGCATCGGCATTGTTTTTAGTTGCCTGGGGCTGCGAGGCATTTTTTCGGCAGATTTAAGCAGATTTCGCCTGGTGTAGTGGTTCACTAACCAGGACAAAAAAGGGCTCTAGAATTTAACCAGATTTTCAAAATGCGGTAGCGAATTTTATCATCTGGCAGCATACCTCGTACTATTTGATAAGTTTGGAAGATGCAGTGGGTTTTTACTGGAGGTTAATTACATTTAGGGGTGGTTTAATTTGAATTCGACCAAACTTGTGGGAAGAAAAATGATGTCTACTCCATAATTAATATATATATATATATATATATATATATATATATATATATATATATATATATATATATATATATGGGTTGTGGTAAGATGACTGATGAGAACTTCGAACAACTGATGCTCAAGCTTGACAGGGTGTGACCCGTACGAAAATGTCAGATATGGCCCTGATATATTTTATATATGGCCAGATATGATAATATAAGCAGTCAAATGGGGCTGTATTTCGCCAGATATGGGAACTAATACGGCCGTATTTCGACATATAAGTGGGCAAATACTGCCAGATCTGGCCGTATAAGTGCGTAAATACAGGCATATATCACCATATACGCGGGCAAATATAGCCCCAGATAATGATATATGGGCCCGTTTCAGTTGTGCAAGCAACAAGTTATATGTACTCGCTAAGACACTAGTTGATTGATCTATATTGCATGAGTCTCATGTAATTGGTTAACTATTGTTAACATCCTTAAAGTGAAGTTATTCCATGTATTTGGACCAATTAATCAATTGCTCAATTTGAAGATTGAAAGACAAATGAAATTTGGTTGTATGTTTGATGTGTGACAATATGACGTAGTGCGATCGTAACGCGACTTAATCAAACAATGGATTTTAGTCGCAGCTCTTAGGCACCCTTCCGAATTAAGCGGTGTTGGCGTCGCCATCGGTGTAACCGCCCCGTTAAATTTAGCGAAAAATTGAATTGGTACGTTTGTCACGTGACGTCAATTTTGCCGCGAAATCTGGCAGTGAAACAAATTTTTTTTTTTCATATTTCCCCGCTAAATTGAGCAGGTAAACACGAACCGTTAGCTTACTCAAGATGCAAGACGCTACTTCGCCGTCCCGAATCCTTTTCCCTTCGAACGGAAGCCGTTGCGCCCGGGGTACAAAATGCAACTCTTTCAAAAAGCGATCGCGCAGCATCGCATCCGTTCGTTTGCGAGCGTCGGCGATTCATCGTGTGTTGAAAGTCGGAAGATGTGCTGTCCGTGGTGTCTTTTATGTGTAACTCGTTCGTAAAAAAATTTGAAACAGTGTACACATGATTTTAAATTTATTGGTAAACATATATATATGTATACATATTTATTTATTTGTCGACATCATGCACAAATAAATAGTCGCGTTTATTTTTTATTTAAAATTATAATGTGGGCTATACAGCGTAAAACTCGCATCGTTTTGAGTTCAAAAGCTGGACATCATAGAGCTCTATGTTCACTCGATATTGACAGCAGGGTAGATGCTACGCGTGTTTTAGGCCGATCGTGTCTCCGGTTAGGGTCACGTGACTACAGTCTAGAATCTGGTGACAAAGCAGGACATCGCGCCTGCCTGGCGCCGCCCAAGGCCACACTTAGCATTCACAGCACTGTCAACCCTCGTTACAAGTGACACATCCCCTCGTTGCGGCCCCGTAAAATAAGCCTTTTGTTCGTGAAACCCCGTTTTGGCCTCTCCCTTGATCCTTTTCTCTCTCTCCCTAAGCTGAAAGCGTTGTAAAAGTTGAGTGGTCACGTGATTTGAGGGATGACGCATTAGCCGTTCCCGATCTCGGAATGCGTTTAGCCGGACCTAGTTTGGCGTGTGAATTCTCCATCTGTGGCTGCTGCGTATGTCTGGTTCTGCAAGCGATTTCTTCAAAGAAGCCCAAGAATGTTTTGTGATCCGTTTAGTGTTCGGTTCTACAAACGACAGCTTGTACTACATCGTGTTGAATCTTCACGGGCACGTTCGCGTTTCTGTGTTCGAGTGGTGGTTTTGCCGTGGCCGTGTCGACATCTCCCTTGGATAACACCTTTCAAGTCGCGTCTCGTCAACGTAAGTGCGCTACAACCTACTTCGTGACAATAGATCGTTTTTCGTAATTGTATTCTTCCAGATTACCTCTAGATTTAGGCCGTGTCTATCTCCTGGCAGCCGGGAGAATCATGGTGCAGAATGTTTCGGCATTAGTGCGATTGCGCCACAAGCAGAAAGTTTCGACATGCCGCCGACAAAGTTTTGACGTGTCGCCGAAAAACAACAGAAACAGACTCTTAATTACGGGTTCCAAAATTTGACGAGCGGCTTTACGAGTCGCTTGTAGAAAGATTGTGACGATTTTGCGAAATACTGGTAAACAATGCTAAGTTACCGTCCTAATCTAAACCCTGGGATGAGAATAAATCAAATAACGGACAACTCTCATTGACTCAGGCTTTATATTATGATGTTTCCTAACCGGCATGCCAAGATACTTTCGCTCCTTGAAAGGGTTACTGTCTCGCGGACGGCACAAACCGATCCCCTGACGGCGGCGTCTCGGCGAACTTGCACACGGGGCCGCCGCCGACCGATCGCCGTTATCGGCGTCATGTAACGATAGGCACAGGACATCTACTCCACAAATGGGCAAAAGCGGATGCAAAGCCGTGCGCGAACGTAAACAACGGTAGAAAAGTGCCGTTGCTCGCCGCTATGAGATGCGTGCCGCTAAGTCGGTCATCCGGGGGCGTATCCCTCTCCTCCCGCTTGTACTTTCTCTAACTTGACGGACACTCTGTCTCGCGGTTCATACCGACGAAACGATCGTCGGGATACCGGGTAATTGCTACAGCCGAGCGCAGCACAGTTTACCATTGCTTCCGCTGTGGAGGGTCGAAGAGTCAACTACCAACATAGTAAATACCGTTTTTTTTTTTTTTTTTTTTTTTTTTGTTCTTGCAGATTTGTTTAAAAAGAAGCTGTGAACGCTGCACTTATGCGGTTTGTGCAAGAGTGATACGCCCAGGGGGACGTTATGTAGTCTGCTAATCTTTGCGATAAGTCGGGTAATTAATTAAAATTCATTAATTAACTTTTAATTAGTGAAAATAGACATATAGTTTCAATTAGAAACTTGCTGAGTGTTGTCCAAAACCCCTAAACCAGTAATTTTTAGAAAGACTGAGCGCGTGTGAAGCGCAGTGGTGCGCTGAAGTTACCACTCGTGGACCAGGTACAAGGCTGGGGCTAGATAAGAGACAGAAAAATTGCGGGGCGCCTTACCGAAACCGCTAGCCTTGTACCGGCTTCACGAGTGGTACCTTTAGTGCGCTTCTCACGCGCTGAAAGACTTTCTGAAAATAACCTGATTTAGGGATTTTGGACGACGCCCCACTAGCTGCTTATTGGAACCGTGTGTTTATTTTCACTAATTGAAAAGTTCATTAGTGAATTTTAATTCATTAGCCGAGTAATCGCACAGCTTAGCGCCCACGTAATGTCCCCCTTGGCGTATAACTCACCCGCAGAAACCACATAAGTGCAGCTTTCATGAATTTTTTAAAAACAAATCTGCAAGAATAGAAAAAAAAAAAAAACACCCTGATATGGGAGGCAGATATACCCCTATTTGGCAGACCCCGATATGGTTATATAAAAAATTGGGCAGATCTGGCTATATAGGGCTTATATAAACTGATGTGCTTGATATGGCCAGATCTGCCCAATTTTTTATATATCCATATTTGTCTTTTTTTATATAAGTCCAGATCTGCCATTTTCGTAAGGGGAATGACAAAAAGAAACATAATGTAACCATTTTGAACATGTGTATGCATTTTTGATTTCGAAATAACAAGTTAAAAGGTAACGTGAAAAGTAATCAATCATTTTCTGGTAATTTTTTAATTACTTTTGTGATGCAGTAATTGATGTCTGTAGTCAGTTACATTTTTCAATATGATTGTAATTGTAATCGTTTACATTTTTTTTTGAGTAACGCGTACAAGGCTGGTCACATGACTTCGATGTGTGGTGCATATATGATCTTTTTGTTTTGTTTCAAATGATGTAATTATGTCCCGCTGACCGATCTGCCTGTAGGGGGCAGGGGCTTCGTCAAGCTGCATTTCTGCAGCTTTTTCTCCTGCCTCCATCGCCCTTTTGTATTATGGGAGTAAATAAAATTAATTGAATTCCTCCGCTAAATTGAGCGGGGAAACTGAATTGGTCTGGTATGTCCCGCGACGGTCAGGTCACGTACGCGGCATCAATTTTCCCGCTAAATTAACCTGAGATACTGAATTTCTGTGTAGGATTCGTGATGAGGGGGAACATCAGTCGAGAGCTAAAAATGAAGTATGCGCTGTGACATTACGCAATGCAAGCATGACGCTTTGCATTGGGGAAGGCCACAGTGCAGACTTCTTTTTTAGGTCTAAACGGACGTTCCGCCTCAACATTCGCTGAGCTGATTTCGTAAATCGCAGAGATTGGCTCTTTGATTGTCTTGCGGGTAAGTAGAGGCGCAGGCATTTTTTAGAGTGTGTAGTATATGGTGTCTCGCAAGTTCAAGAACGCAGATATGTAACTTTGTAAACTATCTGGGCAAACGACATACATTTTTTTTTGTAAAAGCTCCACGTGAACACAAGGGAGAGTGTTGCGGATACGTTTACATGTGCATATTTTATTAATGCAGATACATTTCTCGTTACATGTAGCGTTTTTACGATGCGATACCAGCGGGTGTTTTTTTCTCTCATTTTGTCAGCTCAGCTATATGTATGATTTATGCAAGCTTATAAACAAAGTAAAATATGCTCTACATTGTTCAAACAGTTCAAGTTTGTACAAAAAATTCCTAGACCGTGCATTCGTAAGAGGAAAACATAATTGTCACACCACAGGGAGTTTTTTTTTTCTTCTAAGAGTGACACTAATGTTTAAAGAAAAGACGTGAGGCTACACTTGTGCGGTTTGTACAGGTGAGTTATGCGGCCAGGGAGACATAGTATATAAGGATAATCCTAAATATCAGTCGCCTAATTAAGTAAAATGTGTTAATTTATAACTTCTTAATTAGTAAAAATAGACACAAAATTGAGACTTCGTCCGTGTCGTTCTGTGTTTTGTCCCTTGTCCGTATCCCCAGTCTCGGGTTTACAACTATGCTCAATTTACACCAGCTAGCCTGCACCCTCACCATTGCTTCATTACATGGTTCTAATTAGAAATTTGCTGAGAGTCATCGGAGACCACTGAATCAACATTTTTTAGAAAAACTTTGACCGCGTGAGAAGCGTAGTAGTGCGCTCCAGGTACCGCTCGTGCAACTGGATTCAAGGCTGGGGCTCTGATAAGAGACGGAAACATCGCGCGGGCGCCTTATTGCACCGGTAGCCTTGCTCCTGCTGCTCTGCTTGAGTAAAGACCCGTTCACACATATGCAACCGAGCAAGACCGAGAGAGACCAGACCGGTTTTTAAGCCTCTTGCGACGTCTTAGGACCGGATGCGCTGCAGCGGAGCTGGTCGGTCTGGTCTTTCTGGGTCTTACTCGGTTGCATGCATATGTGTGAACGGCGCTTTAGCCGCTTGAGTAGGCCAACAGTCTCAAAGTGGCGTCCAAAGCTGAGAAAAAAATAAAAGTGAGGTTTTGACGCATTTTACCTCCTGGCACTTCGGAAATTCTTTTTTTGTCTGTGTGTGTGTGTGCGTGTGTTTGTGTGTATGTGTGTGTGTGTGTGAAATTGTTTTGTTCTAATTTTTAAAGTATAGCTTAGTTTATTGGAGGAATAAAGCTATTATATATATATTTTAAAATATCTCAAGACCTCTCCCCCCGGACAAGTTCGGTCGAATTCAGATGAAACCACCCTAGACGTCTGCGAAAGTGCAGCTATTTTGATAACAGCGCGGTCGCAAAAAGACGATAACCTTAATACCTTTTCATGACTTTCCAAAAAAAAAAAAAAAAAAATGTTTACCGGATCCTTCCACCATTTTCTTTAGAATGTCGAAACGTTGGCCTGTTTTATTCTGCGCGACCCCATTGGGTCGAACGGTGAATTGTCTGTACTGTTTCTGACGACCAAGAATATTATTTCATCGTGCTCTAAGAAGACCTCAGTTTTAGCTTGGCCCCGTTTCTTGCGCTCACGCTTCGACACAGGTATACGTAAACGCGACCTCGAAGTTTAAACTTTGGTCGCCAGTGGCGTGAGCTTGTCCCATTAGGAGAATCTTGTGCGTGTTCAACTATCCCGCCGGTGAAGACGGCGCACCCGTCGGATATAGTACAGCTGGTAGTGGGGAATACCTTGTAGACCGTCTCGATCTCGCTGGGCGTGCAGTAGGGAAAATCGATGTTGTGCAGGTACCGTTGGGATCCCTGCAGGTTCTGTAGCGCGGCGCTCAGGTTGTTCCTCGTCTCTTTTACGCAGTAGTATCTCTTCTCGTTGTCACTGTAATGTCAAACAAAATGTTGAATTTGCATATCCGTAAAGGTATTTGAGATTTTAGTGCACGCTCATGTGTCTTTTTATTTCAATCAACGCGTTACTGCCTTTCAGCATGGCTTTTGTAAGGGACGCTCATTTGAGACGAATCTGTGTACCTTTCTCGATTATTCGGCAACCTACGTTCATGGTCGTGGAAAGGATGGATATGATTTGTTTTGATCTCTCCAAGGCGTTAGACATAGTTAATCATGCTTTGCTCTTGCATAGGCTATCGCAGAGCGTATTTTTTCATGTGCTCGTAAATTGGTTCAAAAACTCTCTGAGTGACTATCGTTGCGTCGTTCGTATTTCAGACAGTTTTTCTGATCCTTTTTTTCCCCGTCTGGAGTGCCACAGGGCACTCCAGACGGGGAAATTTTGGGCCACTTTTGTTTCTGATTTTTATCAATGTCATTGAAACTTGCATAGCTAATTCATATGCGTTGCTATTTGCTGACGGCATCAAAATTTTTTCTTTCAGAATTCGTTCAAGGGATGATTATGTGCTTCTTCAGAATGGCGCGTCATGTTTGCTTGATGTGTGCATGGCATATCTTTTAATAATTAAACCTGAAAAAAGTAAGGTTTGGCCTTAGAGTAGAAAACGGGAACATGTGTCATATTTGTATTCGATTGACGTTAAGATTATTTCACGAGTGTCACTTATTCGTAATTTGGGCGTGCATTTTGATAGTTCGCTTTGGTTCATCTATTACGTCAGCCAGATTGTTTATACCACAGTAAGATTGCTCTAACTCGACATCTTGTGGGCCATGCTTGCTTGCTCCGCTTGTTTTGCTCCCTTATCAGGCCTAGGCTAAAATTTGGGTCGATAGTGTGGCATTCTCTTAGTGCACATGATGAAGCACAAATAGAGTCTGTTGAGAGACGGCTGGTAAGCATAGCTTATGAAAGACATTTTGGCAGAAGACATTTTTGTAATTTTGAACTTCTTGCTAAATTTGGGCTTCAAGTTTTATCCACCAGGAGGGTGACACGTGATATAGTTTTTTGCACATAATAATATAGACTCCAAGCTTCTATGCAAAGTTAATTTTAATGTTCCGGCTCTTTTGAATAGGAGTACTTTTACTTTTTACTCTCAAAACAACCTAATGCCGCCTTTATCTAGAATGCAGATATCTGTCAATAATTCTAGAAATCAAAACTTAGATATTTCCAATAACTATGTTGAATTCAAAAGACAATTGCATAATATGTTATTTCAGTCTTAGTGATGTGTATAAGTTACTCGAATGAATTTTTGTTTTTTATATGAAGTCGTGGATGTATATTTTGGCATGGGGAATTTGTGTATGATTATTTCCTTAACTTTTATATACAAGTGGCTCATTACAGACTTCTGCTCGTTCATAGGAACAATAAAGAGACAGAATAATGATGATGATTCCGCTCACTTTTAAGCAAGAATTCGGGCAAGCGAAATTTTAATAGTATGGTGACAAGAAACACTCAACGTAATACTCTCAAATGTGCAACTTGGATGGTTCCACATTAGACTGTCCTCATGGTTAAAATTGTAGATATTCTGAGGAGGAGGAAGTGGAGCAAAAGACAACTAGCCAGCGCCAGAAGCAGTGATATATTCCAGGGTGTAAAAATACATTAAACAATCTCACAAGTCCTGGAAGTGCGGGGTACCCATTCCTGCTTGTTTGATCACCCTGCTACTACTTTCCTACTCCAAATCCAGCTCTAGAACTTCACTGGTGGACGCAATGGGTGTTTAATGTACTTTTAACTCTGTAGGACGAATCACTGCGTTAAGGAAGTTGCGATGGACAAAACAAAATTATAAAAAGTGCGTAAAAAATGCTAATGCGTAAATACCTTTCTACGCACATATCATCTTACGCACAAACACTTGAACTAAAAGTTATTTTTTAAAAGAAATCCTATTTGTTGTTCTTTTTCAATCTCTCCTTCTCATTTCTTTAATTTGATGCCCATGGACTTCCTGTAGAGGTCTTTTGAGATTATTGCGTTGAGTGTGATTTCTGTGACATGGCTTTCATTTAGGGCTGTGCACCGAGCAACATTTTTAAATCAATTAAACGGCTACCCTTAATATATGAAATATGTGGTTATGAAATTCAGAGATAGATAAAAGTTTAAGCTAAATTATGAATGTAGCATTATACACTAAGAGGACACAGTGGGGTTCGTATTCTTAGAGACGAAGGAAGAGTGCATTTCAACGAAGAAGTTTAATTACATTGGTTCGTTATGACATACATTTAAATATCACGGGCTGGTGGCGGGAGTAGAGGAGAGAGCAGAAAATATTATATGAATCTTTTTATTCATTCAAATCGCCAGCTACTGAGTGCTATTGGAGTAATTGAAACATGTCAGTTAGGCGTCATCCACTTATAAAGGTGCATTTTATTAAAACATTAGACGGCGGACTTTCATAAAAAGCATCGTGGTGTGTTACTGATCTCCCACTCTCTTGCTGTTAGCAGTAGCAACGCGAATAACGAAATGAAAGCCCAACAAGAATAAATATTATTCACCAGGATGGGAAGCAGCAAATATAGTTTACTTTTTTGGTAAATATTTTTAGTACATGCTGCCGGTGAGGCACTTATATTTGAATAAAATTCAGATAAGGGCGAGCTCATTTTATAATTGTATATTATTATATTTTACAAACAAAACCAACGTCAAGTTAAAATAAATTATAAACTATACTTCACCAATTGGTTTTCATGATTACATTAAATTACGTTACATACTTTGAAAAATTAATACATTAAAAAATATCAGAGATTATTCCAGTATACTATTATTGGGTAGGTTGATCGATTACAGCCCTAGTTGCGTCCTGTATAAATGAAATGAAAATAAGTACATGTGAGCAACACGTTACTGTAAAAGGTAGCCCGCGAACTTTTATTACAAAATTATGGTTGCACCACAACCAGAAAACGAATAAAGACATACCTAATGTCGTTTATCTTATTTTTAAATAGAGAACTGTGTATGCTAATACTGTGTTACGATTTAGGCTATATTTATTTTACAGCTCTACCTGGGGAAGCCCCGCTAAACGCCCCCGCCCCCTCCCTCCCCCCCCTCCCCCCCCCCCCAAAAAAAAAAAAGAAATTAAGGTGACACAGACATTTTTTTTTCGCCCACTTTTACACTTTTTCGAAACCAAGACACTTTTATGACGCATCAATAACAACACAAACACTACCATCTTTAATTGGAATGCCATTTCACTCGTTTCACAAGAACGGAGAAAGCGTTGCACCTGTAGAATTAATTAGTTAACCATGCTACAAAAATAAAATCTGAAGTGACCACATCGAAAATTGACTTTATAAACTTATTGCCACTACAGAAATTTTCGTAGCGTCTGTACTCCTTACTCAATTCTTACGATACCAATAAAACGTCACCAGCGTAATAGCTGCGCGCGATTCACCCGTGTAATATGCCTGATTCAGATAGATGCGGTTTTTTGTGCGATTTAGCAATTTTCAACGTCCCTCGCGCGGCAAAAAAGCGTGGTGACAGCCGCGACGCCCAACGCCGCAGCTGCGAAAGCTCAAGCAAGGTTGCCTGCTTGACAAAAGTGTTGCTCACAAATAAATACTCGATATATAATGGTGCAACCAAACCACTGCTCTGGATGAGCGTCACACAGGTGTGAGATTGTGCACGATCGTGACTTCACGTTGCACGTTAAAAACTCCAGGTCAGTGGTGGTACTGCACTGGCCAAATTTCCCATCTAGAACGAAGACACCAGGTGAAATTTCCAGGTAGACTAGGTTCCCGCTGTCGTAAACGTCCATATATGGCAAAATGTGAAATTTCCACACGTGGAACTTGCCTTTCCGGAATCGAGGCCAAGTCTCGCCATTTCTTGAGCGCCCGCGAGAGCTGCGCGCAGGCCTGTCGCACCATGAGCAGGGCCTGAGACCACTTGAAGTGCGTGTGGTCCACCTGCTGCTTGCAGATCTGCAGCTTCTCCAGGTCGAGTGCGAGCTGCCCCTCGAGCTCGCTGCCTGACGATCCGCCGAAGATGGTGTCTGGTTCGAAAAACAGCACGTATACCCGGGCAAAGAGTTAATAACTCCACATCGAGTGTCACCTCCAATTATGGAAATATATACAAAGCTTGGAAAAGTTCCAAAGTGGCGCCAGTGCGCAGGTTTGAAGTGTTCCCGGATGACGCCAGCGCGCCAGTGTGTTAAACACCGACGACCAGTTCGCGCTTTCCACTTTTCCCCCGCTTCCTCCTCCCCCTTCTACCCTGTTCGCCGTCGCACCGTTTCCTCCTGCCCCATGGTGAGGAGGATCTTCTGCCTTGCAGAATCTCGAGTCTGGTCGTCGGCCTTTAAGCGGTTACAAGGGTACGCAGCGCACTGGATCACAGTCAAGCGCAAATGCGTGAATTGGACGGCTGGTTAATGGTCAGCGAGCCTTCTTACAAGCTCGGGCCAACAGTGTTGCCAGCTGATGCCCTATACAAACGTAGCAACTTCGGCTCGTGAAATAGGAATGCACTAACTAGGTAAGCCAAGAGTTTGGCAAAGTTTGACCGCGTTTACTCTCAGGTTTTCCTCTTGTTTGAAGAAAATGTAGAGAAACATACCCAAAAGGTTGTCTCTGTCTTGGTAGAGTTGTGCCAGCTCTTCACACTCCTTCGACAGAACCTTGATTTCTTTTTGAATGACTTCGATCTGTGCCAGCGTGGCCTTGAGCTCGTTCTGACATACTTCCTGTGAACAGCATGCAGGAATCGGTTTGTAGCGTGCTCCACACAGAAATAAAAAAGAAACAAGAAAAGACACCGCTCACATGAAAACGGTACTATTTGTGTATGACCCACACGCTGGGATGTCTTTGTTTTCCTATGATTTATTTTCGTGTCTGCATCACTGTTTCGTGGTGGCAGCTTCAAGAATTCGATGCGCAGTGTTCAGCCCTCCTTCTACAATACCCTCGGGCGATGCCCAGGTAGATGCATAAATACATAAATACAGTATATTAATTTTAGTTCATTCATATGTTTGACCAAGTTTCCTCATTGGAGTATACGTCTGATCTACAATTTTAAGGCAGCATCAGAAGAAAATAGAGCATTTATATGTCGGCGACATGTTACCTGAAGCACATACATGTTAAAAATAATTACATTTTCGGAAAGGGCACAAAAGATGAGGAGACAACTGTGTTATTTCATTGCCTTTGATTTGAAAATTAGATGCTACGCGATTTCTTTAGCTGTCTCGTAAGTTGCATTTGTTGGGTACTGCTCATTTATAGTATAATCTGTATGTCGTCAAAAAACCGTGCAAATAAACTATTATTTCAGTATTTCACTACATGGTAACTCAGAGGCGTGAAATTAGAAGTAGAACAAAATTTTGGTTTGCTTCAGAAACTGAACCGTACCTTTGAGTACGATCTGGTGTAAAATACATCCATCGGCGTAGCTATAGTACAGACTCGTCCAGTTAAAAAACCTGGTGTTTTAAAGAAATGAAAAGCGTGTTTTTTTCTTACCACAAAAGTAATTTAAGCATCGCTCAACGCTCAGTTTTCACACAAATATAGTACTATAGTGCTATAGCGGATTTGCTAGGCAGAGAAGAGACTTAGAAAGCTTTAACCCCCCCCCCCCCCCCCTTTCCTAAAAAAAAAAAAAAAATGCTAGTAATTATATTCTACGGATGGGACCAGGTGCCGATGTTTCCAAACCTACTGTTATCTGTCTCAAAAGTTAGACATGATTTTCGAAAATGTTTGGTGAGAAAATGGCAGGCCAACTGTAGATGAACGGCGCCTGCTATCGGGAGCGGCCCCGGCTCTATCATTGAACATTTCTGAAAATCGCTTAGGACTTGTGAATCCGATGATGGCGAGCTCTGAAACTTTGACATCGGACCCAGCAGCTAGCGCTACGTTTGGGCGGACACTGAGCGTTCAGCGATCCGTAGTTTATTTTTGCGGTGAGAAATACAACGCGGTTCACTTTTCTCTTAGGCACCCGCTATTTCGCGGGCTTCCTCAAGAACTCTAACGAGATCGCGACGAGAACTTGAACAAAAAACGTGAAATGCTGCTTCCAAATATAGTCCACAAGAACGACAATGTCAAGACGACAGCGGCTGCCGTAGCTTCGTTAGAGTGTACTAGCATCGCCCAAAACCCAAAACACTTTTAAGCAAAAATCGCTTCCCGTCGCGCCACCTAAGGCGTAACCATATCAGCCGTTGTTGAAGTTATGGCGTGGCCGAATACCGTGCCGCCCGTGCCACCACCTCGCAGCATCGTCGACGGTTGCTATGGTTACGTCGCCCAGCGTCGCGGCGCGGCACGGTGCGGTTTTTGCCCGCATATGTTTCACGCTTTAGAACACGGAATAAAGCAAAGAGGCCTCTAACCAGGCGGTTCATGTTGTCGAGGTATTCCTCTTGTTCAGGCAGGAGGCCTTCCAGCTCGCGCTGCTTTAGAAGTTCGTCCTTGATGGTCATGAGCTCGTCCTCTCCGAAGAGGTCCGTAACTGCTTTTCTGCGTGGAGGACAAGACATCCAAGATAAAGATTCGATGACGACGCTCCCGCGAAGTTCTCCGATTTCTTTGTATACTGTCACGCATAGGACCTAAGTACAACGAGGTTAATGAAGTAGAAAGCGGTTCTTCATCTTTCGTCTCGGGTCCTACGCAACTCGGGCAAACAAAGCAGGGTGCCTAATCAGCTGTGAAAGCTCGTATCGGATCGATAGGGATTCTGGCCGGGTCATACGACTCCTTGCGGGACAAATTGATAATCTATTTATGGCAAATTCTGCAATGGGAAGCCTGCGATGATACGTGAGCCGCGCGCCACGCTGTAAGAAGTTCCGCGGAGCTTTTCGGCTGATTGTCCTTTGAAAAATATGCATCGCCGACTGGCGGGTTCAAAGGGGGGAGGGGGGGGGGAAGTCCGGATTTCCCCCTGCCCCCTTTTTTGATCCCGTATGTGAATTTTAGGGCGGGTGCAAATCGGAAATTGTGTGTGTGTGTGTGTGGGGGGGGGGGGGGGGGGGGGGAGGGGGAGGGGGTGCTTTCATACATTCGATACTCGGACTCCCCCTCTGTGGAAAAACCTGCATCCGCCCTTGACATGGTTTGAACTGGCGTCACATCTTCGGCCATTATGACGGCCTTTCTGCTGAACACTCTGCAGCCTGCATTTCGCGTCATAGAAGATTTTTTTTTTTGTTTTCTACAGGAACAAGTTGAAATGACCGGCGTAACGTACAAGCCAGGTAATTTGTATTACAATTAAAACGCATCGCGGTGCGTCTAAACGATCATCTGCTGTCGCACTACATGCCATTGAAGATAATTATTGTTTTATTTACTTTGTTTTAACCAGAATTGCCCGATATTTCATCAAGCAATAAATAAATGTATTAGAGAGTAAGGGTCTATTTTCCTCGCCAGATATCTTGAAAAATTACATTTTCATTTTTACCATAAGTCCTCAGACCCGGTAACTTAGCTTCTTTTAGGCACATGCTCGTATTTCGCGAAACTGGTTGTATCTGACTATGTACGATGTAAAAGCAGAAGCAAGTGGCTAGACAGTACCATCGGGTTCCAATGAAATAAGAAGAGTGACGAAGCTTTCAGCCCAGTACCGGTGTAGCTTCGAAGCTCGGGTTGTGCTTGGTGAGGTTAAAACACATTGGAGTGGGACGCGCAACTTCGCAGCGCCCTATTCCGATGTGTTCGAACCTCGCCAAGCACAACTCAAACTTGGAAGTTGCGCCGGTATACCGTCACTGTCCACATTTCATTCGAACTAGGTTGTACATGGTGTCTTGAAGGCTGCATAGAAAGGCAAAACTGCACCAAGCAAACTGCACGTGAAGCCGCAATCAAACAACCCAAATGGTTAGTGAGTACAATAATTAACCATTTGAAATGTGGGCTATGGCACCGGAGCTTACCTTTGCTCGAGCTGCTTTGGCGTAGATGTACGTATTTCTCCGCGCTTAGAAGGGGGGTGCAAATTTTGGAGGTCGATGTCACGAAAAGTTCGTCACGGAAGTGACGTCACACATATAATAGGTGGCGCCTGCTGCCGAGAACCGCCAAATGCGCACGCGCGTCCTTTTTTATCTGCTGGCTTACTCGTTTGCCTTTTTCAACGCGACGCGCTGCTCCTGTCTGATTGAAACGGCGATAGACGACGCTCTGGCAGCCGCGATTCCACAATTTTAACGCGAGAGCGTTAAAATTGTGGAATCGCGTGGAATCGTGTCGCAGAAAATTGTGGAATTGTGGAATCGTGTCGCAGAAAAGCCGACGTCGTCGTCGGTGGCGTCATGACGGGAAGATCCTGATTGGTCGAGAGGGTCATGACTTCACACCCACATGACTTCGCGCGGGAATTTAAAACAAGGCGCAACGCTCACGTGAAGCGCGAAATTCGACGTCACGCGTGGAATTAAAGTTCTTAAAACATTTACATGTTATGCGAATTAAAGGTCTCCGCATGTCTCAAATGATTTCCCTCTATAAAGTAATTAATTCGCCTTAAAGAAAGAATTGACGAATATTAGGCGGTATTCGCAATCACGACCCTTCGGTTGCGAGTCAGACACGCTATACTGACTAGGCGATGTCCGCCGCACTTCCTGCTCACTGACATGAACGGCATCAGAAGCGAATGAGAAGGCGATGCGAACGGGTCCCGATAACGCTATCTCGTTCAAAGCTTATACCCCTGTCAGACGGGCGAGTTTAGTGCACTTCAAGCGAGTGCACTTCAACCCGTCGATACACACTCCAAGTGTGTTGGTGCTACACGGGAAAACTTAGTGTCACTCCAAAATTATGGCAATGACGAGGGGTAAAGTAATTCGCACACAAAATATTAAAGTGCATACGCATATTTTCATAAATAACTTCGTCGTCTTATAAAAAACACGTTACCACATATCGTTGCGCTAAGTCACGAGCTTTAATCCAAATATAAATCCAATTTGATGACTGTGATCAGCCATTATAAGCGAAGCAAATCCAAGATCTAAGCATCACCTTCATTCGCCACAACGAGAAAACAAAAGTGGGGTGGGTGGGTGTTTATACAGCGTAGAACTAAGTCCGCCTCAACGGGCAGCAGATGAGCAATTTAGCCAGTGCAGTACAACCGCGAGCCTGGGGTTTTGACTTGTACCACGCAGTAGTGTTACACGACCGCACGCCGGTACGATGCTCATCCAGGTCGAAACGGGCAGGGGTGGGGATTGAACCCAGGATCCCTAGGATCTGCAGCGCGAGCTTTCGCTCTGCGTGCTCCGAGCTGGTGTACGCGAGCCCCACTGGGCCACTCGCCACTCGCCACTCGCCACAACGAAATATTGTCACGAATGAATGTGACGAAAAGCCGAACAGTGAACTGAAAATAAAGATTTAATGGGCGAACCTGTGCCAACCAAAAATAAATAACGAAAGAGCGTCGAGGTAGCAGAAAAGCGGGCGGCGGTTCGGCGGCACTACAGAGCGCTAGCGAAACTGGGACTGACTCGACAAGGTCGCGGGAGCCGCTTATCTACCCTGCGTCACTATCTCGAAAGTTCGGCAAAGAAGGTTCGAGCGTCGCGCGCTCGGGGCGAGGATGAACTGGCACTTTCGAGAATAACAAAGCAGAAGGAAAGTTACGTCCGCTGCGAGAATGACCGGGAATCTTCTAGAAGACCGTGACCGAGCGTTGCCTTCTCGGCTCTGCGGGTGGCAATATCATGCAGAGTGTGGAGGACGAGCTGGAGTGCGATATCCGAGATGTTGGACAGTGGAAGCGCGTGGTGGTGGCACTTTTCTCCG